TATATATATATATATATATATATATATATATATATATATATATATATATATATATATATATATATATATATATATATATATATATGTATATATACACACACATATATATATATATATATATATATATATATATATATATATATATATGTATATATACACACACACATATATATATATATATATATGTATATATATATATATATATATATATACACATATATATATATATATATATATATATATATGTATATATATATATATATATATATGTATATATGTATGTATATATATATATATATATATATATATATATATATATATATATATATATATATATGTATATATACATATATATATATATATATATATATATATATATATATATATATATATATATATATATATATATATATATATATATATATATATATATATATATATATATATATATATATATATATATATATATATATATATAAAACTACTGATACTACAATAACGCCATTTTGTAAAATAAAACTACTGATACTGTGTAAGAATTGTATGGTTATGTTTGTAAAATAATACCACACATAGTATCTATTTTTAATGCAATGTAATCAGTACAATATGTATGCGTTAATAATTCAAGTTGATTTTACACATATATAACGCCATTTTGTTATTTAGACATTTGTATAAATATTTTAAAAAAAATACATTTTTATATAATTTTTAAATTATTATTTCACATCTTAATAATATAAATATTATAAAACCAAATTTGATAGGACACTTGTGTCTATCCATCTATCCATGAAAACTAGTTTCATAAACAAAATTACAACACCAAAGAGAAAAAAGGTATTGTATCTTTGGCATACAAACAAGAACCAGTGCCCAAGCTTAAAATGTCCTTAAGATCTGATACCGGTAGAACACAACGTAAACTGGTCTAACAACTGTTATATCAGTACTCAGTTCATAAAAACTCAATAAATACTACTACTACATCCGAGAGGACTTGACCTTCCAAAGAGAATATATATAGAAAAAAGTATCACCTCTGTGTAACCTATTGAAAGCCCCGTAGCGGAAGTTCCGTAGCGCGCCCCACGACCCTGGATAATAAAATTAGAAGTCGGCGAACTGTCGAACTCCCACAGCTGTTGCACAGTGTTGTTTACTTCGTAGACGGTTGGAGCGATGAGTGTCAAATACACGAACTGCAGTGATAAAAACCATGTCAAAGACTCATAATCCATTTAAAAACGGGAGGCCGTTGGCGGCGAGGAAACTTGACACAAGAATTACACAACAATTGCCAGGAAATAACATACCAAAGTTGCTGAAATAGCAACTCAGAATTGATTCCAACACCAATCTTCTCGCCAAAGCAATTCCAAGGCTATGCCGAATCCGCGAACTTTATTCGAGGTTTTCAGAACACTTGGACGTCGTCATTGATGTCGCAAGAGGAACTAACAGTCCGGCAAGTTCTTCTTTACTGTCATAGAATCAACAAAATTATTTAGCATAAGTGTCATCACTTGCTAATTCTTCATACAAACTTACTGAAGTTGGTGATATGCCATGAAAAAAACCTACAACCGACAAAAAACCAAGCCGAGATAGAAAGAAGCATGAAAGACGGAATTGCAGCAGCATGTCCACTCAACCTGCATTTCAACAAAGGGATTTGACTTATCATTCAGGTTTAGAATGTGCTTTTGAGCAATCTTAATGTAGAACGGAATTCAACCCGTACTACCTTCTTCATGCACGTAAACCTCAATCAATACATAAAATCATTTTTAGATTAAATTTTTCCACTCTTTTCTCATCATAGATTTTACCAGAATCGGATTTTGTGGTTTTTGAGTTTCTAAACTTGGTTACAATTAAGAAACCGGAATTGGGCTGTTAGAAGAAGCAATGTAATTCATAACAAACAAACAAACAAACTAATTTTAATTATTGCAGAGTATATTAAATAACATACTACATAAATAACTAAAACATCAAGATTTAAACTAGAAAATAAATCTAGTAAGAAATCAGTAAACATCACACACACTGTTCGAGATTATTATACAAACAAGTTTACTCACATCTGCTACAAATGGCCACAATTTGGACAACAGCTTGTTTAGCCATTTCACCTGAAAAAGCCCATCAACAAGAGTCATAGACTGCTTTTGCAGTCCATATTTTGCTTTAAAATATAGAAAGGATCATACATAGAGAACAGACATAGTGTAGAAACCAAGAAACAATAAATGAAGTTTCTAAACTTAAAGTTTGCATCTTCATTTGATGCATTGCTAATGCCTAATAATATGATAGAACCATTTGCAATATCATTTCAGTGCAAAGCTAAGTATCACAACAACAGATGATAGTCATACCTGCTCATATACAGGGAAAGATATCCATTCGGGTAAATTTTCACTGCAAATTTTCTTTAAGTCGTCTCTATTAAGGGATCCAAGGAGTTTAATGTCAACTGCCTGTAGAGAAAAAATGAATAATGTTAAGATGACAAGAAAAAATATATCCACAAATTAATACAGACTTTTTTGTATTCAATATAATGGCAACAACTCATATGGAATATGTCAACATAGATTACACACCACTTCAACAGCATGCCTCACTAATAATAAGTTAAATTGCACTATGTTTGGAACCACGTCAAATAAATTTCATTCTCACATCTAGTAAAAGCTAGGAATCCTGGCTTCTTAAATTCACGCAAAACTTGGGAGCAAATGCATCTGGATTACGGGATTCAATATGGTGCTTTGTCTCAACAATTGTCTCCTGAAATTCTACTCTATTACCACAGCTATCACAAGCACAACTGTCGCCACAGAAGAGGCCGGTGCCAAAACAATCACAGTAACTGCAAAATCATTAGTGAAAGGATAACTGCAACGTTAGATAATGGCAAAGCAACCAGTGGTAATCTGACACTGCTGAATTAGATAATGGCTCTAAAAACTCACACCTTTCTAAAATGTTAGGTGGTGGTGCTCCATCAATGAGATTGGAAGGATAACTGCAACGTTAGACATACGTTTAGCAACAGGAATAATATCGCTACTCCATCCAACAACTACCCACACATCTCCCACTCCAAAAGCCTTTAGATAGTTTTCACTATCAAAGAGTCGAACCTAGAAATACATAAGAGTATAGTAACTTATATTTATAACTTGGAAAAACAGAATGGACAATACTATTTTTTGTCAATTAAACTTTTATGTGTTTTCCCCTCTACTCCAATTAAAAGAGACATCAACAGTTGAGAGATCATTGAGTAACAGTACCTGTTTTGCAAGCAATGCTAAATTATGTTTAACTGCATCTCTCCCATTATTAACTTCCAAATTGATGTCATTTGCATTATAGGAAGCCCCCATATACTTTAATACTGCACCAACAACTTCTCTAGGAGAATCTACCATGGAAATCCTCCCTGAAAGATCAGGACGCCACAGATCAGCCCAGTCCTACAATTCCATTTTTTAAATATCTAATTTAATCAAAATATCCAATAAATGCTTTACCATAGTTTTACAGGGTTTAATAGAAAACAACATACCTCTATAGGAGCCAACTTATACTTTTGAAAATTATTTGTCTTGTATGCTATTACCATGCAACCCCATCGATATGGGGCAGCCCATACATCACCTTCAGGATCCATTTCTCCCTCACGGTTCCTGCGTAGATATACCTGGAACTTTGTCAGGCAATGTAATATTGTACTATCAACAACATACTGAATTACTGATAGAACTGGTACCTATAGTGAGTGAATTATGGAAAAGAAAACATAAATGATAGAACAGTCCTCTGCAGAATCTGTCTAGAACAGCAGTTTATATTGTTAATACAGAATTAACATAACAGTACATAAGACGAAGTTTAGAGAGACAATGAAAGAATAGATATAAAGCAATTCCTACCCAAGAAATTCGAGAGTCTTGGTTTCTCCCACCCAAAACCACTCAATAACTATCCCATAATTTTTCAAGATTATCAGGTTCTAATAATGTTGGACAATGTGGTATCTTTGTTTCTCATTTCTATAACTGAAATTTAATATATCAGGCGACACTGTCACCAAACAACCTTGTGGATGTGTCACTTTAGCTTTATATGTAGCAGCACCATCACCGACATATGTAACTATCCTCTTAAATTTGTGAACCATTGGTCTTGTTTTGTTACTGTAAAAAGCTATAAATGAAGGGTAATTAAGATCCAAAGAAGGCTTTTCACAACCATAAGAACTTGATCTTGTAATTGTTAAATTTTGGTTCTTTGTGAAGTTCAAACCACAGAGAAGATTAACATAGTCTTTTGGAGTAACATCATAGATCAAACCTGGATTCATTGCTCTATTAGGATCAATCTCGCCCGCACCAATAGCGAGAGGAGAAGCTTGTTGAGAAGGGTGACCATCATCCTTTATTGGATTTTGCGTGTTATCCATAGGATTAGCTGTGGTTATTAATGCAGATCTTATAGCAGCAACACTCTATTCTGGATGTGCGGATTTCAGAAGAGCAGCAACGCCGTAAACATGAGGGCAAGCCATGGATGTTCCTGACATGAAGTTGAAGTCACTTGATAAGAACATGTTTGCGCCGATTCTACCTGATGCTTTACCAGTATTGTGCTGCAGTTGGTGTTGGCTTTATTCCAACATGTGTTTGTTGAAACCTAATACTTGCTGTTGGATTTTGGTGTGTTTTTGTTTAGTTGATCACAGCTTCTGCGTCTTTTGGTTTGATAACGATGATAGGAGAGTAAATATTTGCTAAATCAATTAAATTAGGATGCTATTTTCGCCATAATCACCAGCTTCAGCTTGCACAAAGTTTTCCCAACCTCCCATATCCTCACTGTTATTGGAACTAAATTTCTTAGGGCAGAATGTGTGACCAAGGGTGTCACAAAGAAAGCAAAAAATTCCAAGTATTTGAAAAATACATGGACCTATTCACCTTTTATTCTATCAAAGGACCAGCTCCTTTGAGCAGTTCTTGGACATTGATAGCTACTCTAATTCGCATGTATTTTATCCACGTGCCATAATTATTTTGTTCATTGTACGAGATAAATTTGCCCATATGGTTTCTAATGAGTATGGCGACATTCTCACATATGAATCCAAACGAGAGTTGATGAATTTGGATCCAAATTTCAGCTTCATTCATCAACGCCCTCCTTGATACACTCTTTCCATGTCCCCGAACGGTGAGGGGCTCCTCCCCGAACTTAAGTTCCCGCAATACCAGCATATAGTTTTTGATTAACCAACGCCCTCCTTGATACGCTCTTTCCATGTCCCAGAAATGGAAATATTGGACCAGAAATTGTTCTCCTCCATCTTTGAAATAGCTATACCCTGGTTGCCATAGTTGAGAGAGCATATCCTTCATCGCATTGAAACGAATCGGTTTGTTGGTCAACAGATATCTAAAGAGGCACAGATCAAGGAGGTCTTCAGATGCTAGCATGGAGGAATCGAAGTTGATTCGGCCATTTCCAGCATTTTCGGGAATATTTGAATGCTCCATGGTGATGTTGCTAGCTATAAACAAAGTAGCAAGGAAGTGATTTGTCTAGTAGCAGAATACATAAGTTGATGATGTTTGCTTTGCATAACCCTTGAATATAAACTGGTCCTGAAGGAACATGATCTCCACATATCGTCTTCCACATTAAAAGCTTCAATACTGTTTCTGAGACTGATTCTTATGTCCTTGCTTTTGGGTTGACAAAATCTCCACGACAAAATGAGATTTCTTTTTCTCCCAGAATCACTCCACTTTGATTGCTTCAGTCTTCCTATCATTCTCCAAATCACAATAAATCGCCAAATACGGTAAATCTCGAACCTCCCAGCTTTCTGTGTGTCGATATTACTCCCCCTTTCTTTTGTCTCTTCCAGCATAACCCAGACAAATAAACACACAAATATCCTCCATGTTCTTGAGATCTTTTATCACCTTCTTACAAAGATCACCCATAATGTACAACCACATCTTCAACACTTGATTCTTGACAAATTCTATCATAATAAAAGCGTCCAGACTGACTCATACTACTAAAGAGATCTAATCGAATCAAAACAATACTCACTCTGAATCATTGATTCGACGTCGCAAAAAAGGACTACTTGTTTGTTAACTTGAGATAACAAGTTTTCTGAGTTGCATGAAGATAAAGTTTTATTGTAAACAAGTGGAAGATTTTCCACTATAGCGTTTGCTGGAAACAAAGTCCAACCAATGATGTTTTGTCCATTTCCCAAAACAAGAGTTCCAAAAGTTCTGTCTATTGTTCCTGCCGCCACTGTAATTAGCCAAGGGATACCATTGTGCAATGTTCCAAGATTAGGTCCTAAATTACCTGCAGAAGTCTAACGGTTTCCAAACCAAAGCATTCAAATCCCTAATTTTACCGGTCCTAATTACAACACAAAGCATTCAAATCCCTAATTTTACAATTTAACACAAAGCAATAATCTGAGAAAAGAAAGATTACCGGATATCAATGAAGAGAAGGGTGACGGTGGTGAGCTAATGACGGCGGCTCCTTTCGACAGAGAAGGATGACGGTGGTGAGCTGATGAAGGCGGCTCCTTTCGACTGAGAAGGATGACGGTGGTGAGCTGATGACGGCGGCTGAGATCGACGGAGAAGGATGACGGTGGTGAGTTGTCTTAGGGTTCGTCTTTTTATTCCAGTGAAGTGAAGAAGATGGCTGTGAATCGATGGCTGTGAATCGATGAAGAAGCGGGGAAGATGTGCTTTTTTGCGTGGGTGAAAGAATTTTGCGCCAAAACGAAAAACATTTGGGCCAAGAAAGGTTTTCATATTTTAATTAATTTAATTTAGTGGAATATTTTAATAGCGCTTTTTAAAAAAGCGCTATCTTAAAACACAATTATAGAAATGATAGCGGTTCCATAGAAAGCGATATTGTAGTTATATATTTTAATAGCGATTTTTAAAAAGCGCTATCGTAGTGCTTTTAATAATAGCGCTTTTATAAAAGTGCTATTGTAATACAACATTTTAATAGCGCTTTTTAGAAAAGCGCTATCTTAATGAATATCTATTATAGCGTTTTTTTACAAAGTGCTATCAAAATCATATTCTCTGTACTCTTTAATAGCGCTTTACTATAAAGCGCTATTATAAATATGTTTGTTTCCTTTTTAATAGCGCTTATTTAAAAAGCGCTATTAAAGTAGGCGATACAAAAAACCAATTTTGGCGTAGTGAGGTATATTAAAGAAGGTTTTTTCTATAGCATATGCTTATCATGTTCACTTTGACGGTTCCTTACTATCTCATGCGACTGAAAGTTTGACCCTTCCCTTATTTGGGATATCCAGACTCCTCCTAAAGTATTAGTATTCTCTTGATAGTTTTTGCAAGATAGACTCTTTTTTTAAAGAGAACATGTTTTAAAAGGGGAAAATTTGTGATCTTAGTGGGATTTCTTACCCTTTCAATGGGGATTTGGTTAAGTTGATCTTCCATATTTTTATCACTTGAGAGTTAGTTCTTATTATGTGGTATAAGATTTTCAAGTGATTAGATTTACATGTGGTTCTTTCCAGTGATCATAAGTTTCTCTTTCAGTCATTCCTTTCTTTATGAGGTAAGACCAAGTCTAGAAATTGTAGTTATGATATTACATGCTATATAGTATGGACATCTGGAGAATATGTAATGATATCATTTTTACTGGTGTTACAAAGACGGGAAAAAGAGGTGGAGAAGAGTATTGCTTTGGCTTGGAAGTGGTTTTTAGTTAAATCCAGAGTGAACTCTTGCATGTACTTTGTCTGACTTCATAACCATATTTTTTATCTTGATTAATAGTAGATTGAGTGTATTGTCTTGGTTTCGAGGTAAGTTTTGGTTTGTGGTTTTGTTTTTCCCATGGTGGATCATGATTTGTTAATTTTAGTTCTGGCATATGAGCTCTGATTTGAATTATAAGGAGTTAGTCTTTAGTTGTTTGAGTCTTTTTTTTTTCTCCTTGATTTGTTTTGTTACTTATAGTGTTTATTTTTTGTTGGATTTTTTTGGTATCTTTGATAGTACTCTAGTCTCTTCTTGTGTATTAAAATTATTTATATTTTGGTGATTATTAATATATTATTTTGTTATTAAAAGAAGACACCAAATGTAAAATTTACTATATTTAATAAGTTTCAATAATTTTATTTTTATTTTTCTGTTTTTGTGTTATCAAAAAATTTATTTATTATTAAATTTGTAAGGATTCACACTTATACTTTATATGAGAAGTACATATTTTTTCAGCAAAATTAATTATATATTATGAAGGGAAAAATCCAGGGAATGTATAAAGTATACTTAAAAATGTGGAAATAATTACCATGTAGAACTTTCATATTTTACTTTTCAAATAATGATAACAGTCATTTTGTGAAAAGTGACTAGTATTAGGAAGTGGTTAAAATGATCACCAAACCATAAGACTGTTTGTATCTAAGGTAAACATTGTTGTTTGACCTTTGTCTCACGTGTTAATTTTCAACTAAATCATCTTTGCTAAACGTCAATCCTAACAAGAACTTTGTGAACCCTAGCTACGTAAACTGTACAGTATTGGTTTCTAGAAGCACATGAAATTTTAGGTATCTAGATCCCAACAATAATAACCTTTTCAGTTTGGAATTTGTGGAACATTAGAGTAGTTGTTTGGAAATAATTTTAGCTTTTTTAATGTGGATGAATATATTAAGATAATGATTTAATTGTTCTTTTAAATTTAAATTAAAGTCATTTTTCTTCATGTGCAAAATCTGATTCAACGGAAAAAATATCAATATTATTAGATTATATAGTTTAATTTTAATTTGAACTCATAACATTAAAGTTGTGTGTGTGAACTTTAGTGGTAATTGTCGATTCTTATACGGATAATGTTCATCATTCTTTAGAATATTGGTTTAAATATTAGACTAAATTAATAATAATATTAATTATTTTGTTCATTAAAAGGAATTGGTGGGATTTAAGTTTATTTCTAGAAAGTTAATCTTAGGATGTTGGTTTTTTTTCTCCTTCTAGGTTGAGATACTTCAGTTTGAGTATATTTTGACTATTTGTTTGTGACTGCCATTGCATTTCAATAGTCATTTAGCGTTGCTTGTTTGATTTTCTTTAGTGGTTTGTCATTGTTGATGCTTACTATTGTTGAGCCTCATCATTATTTTTTGTGGTCTCATGTTGTTATTTGAAGGTTAGGCTTCATTTTTCTTGAGAAGATGTTTTTGGAGGTAATAATCAATATGGTTTAAAATAGAGGTTAGAATTAGTTCAATCTTAGAGAATTTCGATTCAATCTTAATGAATAAGATTCAATCAATCGATCGAATTTTTCTTGTGTTCTTCATTCTTCACTCAAGTGAATCACTCACACATTAATTGCAAAAATGATTATGCGCAACAATTATTAATGGAAGAAGAAAGAAAAATTGAATTGGAAAGAAAAGGGAATTAGGGTTTGAACCAAATGTAAAACAAGAGAATTTCTGCAGAGTTTCTCTCTGCTATTCAAAATTGAATATTATTCTTTACAACTGCAAATTGTTATACAATAATAGGGGTTTCTCCCTATTTATAGATTTTGGGTTTGTTTGTTCCCTATGCAAAACTCAAAAATACAAAGCTTAAAATACCTAATTCTACTAATGCTACAAAATTAGACTTAAATCGAAATCCATATCAAGGCTAACTCCTTCGACAACTACACAACTCAGACACACTGGATTATTTCGACATTACTTTGTTTCTGTCGAACTACCTGTTTCGACACAAGGAATTACATTCTCAACGATAAATTTATTGTAAATTTTTCCTTTAATGTTTTTCATATTGATTCTAAGAGTCTTTAGATCCTTTATTTTGGTGTCACTCATCACATGACATTTGACTTTCAATATTTTTTTTACGAGTTTCTCCTTTCGACATTCCTAATATTATTATTGTAGACGGTTTTTATGCTTGAGTTGATGGTTACAGAGATATTGACCTTCAATTTTTTAAATTGAAATACATGTTTCACATTTCTGATCTATCAAGAAACTTTGTCCACATTCCTAAGCTTACAGAATAATAATTGGAGAAATATTATTCTTACACTTTAAATGACATCTACAACGTATAAATATGCGGTTTTGTTTTCTTATTATGTTTAATATTTCTTAATTTTTCTTTTTTCTTGATACAAATAAACACATGCGCATGTGTATCTTGGATGGTGTAAGTTATAGTGTATGCTTTTTGGTGTAAAAATAACAAGCCTTTAATAATTGTGCATGTTATATTTTTAATCTCATTATATTTTTCAAGATATTACGAGGAATATGTTGTCGTCTACATTTCAGTCTCAATCACAATCTTTTTTTGTCCCCCAAATATGGTTTTAGCATAAGGGTTTTGGTCATCCTCCTTTTCCATTAATGAAATGTATATTTCTATTATTATTTTAAAATTAAAAAAACGGTGAATATGTTACATGTGACATA